TCAGGCTTTGGGGAGGAACAACTGCAAAGGTGCTAGGTGAGGATGGGGACCACCTACAAGTTGTTCTCTGCTGTACACATTGTGCCTGTAAATAGATAACAGTGCTGTATTGTGCACTTCAAAACCAGTAATGAAGTTGTATCTCATGTTACGTGTTATGTGTTTATTTTTTCATTAAAAAGAATAGTTCTTTCCTCCATTAGTTTTCTCAGGCTTTTGTCCAGGATGTAAATATGACTGTGACTCACTCTCCAGTATTCAGATATGCATTTTGGGAGGATCCCTTTGTTGCACAAGGACCTGGACTGCAAGGCAGCGCAGAGGGACCAGTAGGAGACTGGGAAGGCATTTCTTCACACACAACTTCCATGGCCAGCTCAGCCCTGAAGGTGTTGACTGTGCACTGTGAACAGGGGGGCTCAGGGAGCACTTGGCAATCGCATGGCTTCCTCACTCCTCCTGTGGCGCCTCTGATGCCTTTGTTCTCTGCATTAGCCATTCCCTCCTGGAGCACCGTCCTCCCCTCCTCCGATCACATAGGACACAACACAATTGCCCATGTTTTCTAAAAAATTTCCTGACTCCCCCTAACCAAGCCTTGGTAAAAGGTTTGTTCTATACATTTTATTAGCAGCATGCCTAGATTTTCCTTTTGAATTCCTGTTAACCACTTTGCATTCTTTACAGAGTCTACTTATGGTCTGTCCTACCAGATTCTTAACTCCTTGAGAATTAGGATTGTGACTTTAATAACTTTACCCTCAACATGTAACCTGCCATGTTGTGTTTAATAAGAGCTGATTAAATAAATGGATGGATGGATGGATGCATGGATGGATGGATGGAAGGAAGGAATGCAGGGAGCACATGCTAAAGAAAAGTGAGGCTGTGACAAGTGCCATAATCAGAGAAGGCATAGATAGCTACATGGTATCCATCTCCCAAACAAAAGCCTGAGGAACAACTTTTAGGCACCCTTGTAGCTGCTGCCCTTCAGATGGTCTGATCTCTCCGAGTCTTTCACAGAGAAGCTGGGCCTGAGAGGAGGGGAGTGGGCAGAAAAGGAGACATCATCTTCCACCCTCCTGCAGCCTGATTGTCAGCAAAAGATCTCAGTGCAGGGGACTGCTCCTGCTTGCTTCTCTGACCAATCTCATTATAAACTTGTCACTAATACACAACAACCCCCTCAATAGTCCTCTGGCTAATTATGTCCAAGATTGGCACCTAAACATCCAAAATAGCATCTGATGTGACTTTCTATTTACAGAAGGGCGCACAGGAGGCATTAACAACACCCTCACTAGATTCCTGGATGCTGTGGACAAGCCCAGCCACCAAGTGCTGAAGGGAATGGGCAGACTTGATAGTCATCTGCTGATAACTGCACTGGGAGACTCAGAAGGGAATTCCAGCAACTTCTTTTGATAAAGCCTTCAAACCACCAGATCTGCTGCTGCCAAAACTAAAAATAGCTTAGTCTAGCAGGAAAAGCATTGGTCTGGGAGTGAGAAGATGTGGGTCCCACGTTTTGCATGAACTGGCTTAGTGTCCTTGCCATTTAACCTCTTAGCCTGTCTGAACATTGGTGCCGTCTTCTGTATACTGGGGAGGATGGTGCAGACTCCTCCCGTCCTGGAGTAGGTGGGAGTCCCAGAGGAGATAATGGACATGGAAGCACTTGCTGACTGCCTGGCCGCAATCTCAGGAAAGAAAGGGCGGGTCACGATAAGAAAGCAGCCACACTGGAGACACTCCCCAGTTGTTGTTTTAGCAAAAATAAAATCCTCCCACATTCAGGCCTCTGATGGTCTGGGAGTGGCCCTTTGCTGTAAAACAGTCAGCCATGCTCTGTCCTTGCCTGCTTGTCCTGTGATCTGTGACTGCCTCATTCATTCATGGTTAGCACAGGGAAGGCCCACGTAGCAGCCAGAAATATGAACAGCTATTCTCAGCAAGTGGGAGGTTACCCAAGTCACAGGATAAATAAACGGGGTTATTTTTCTTCTTTAAAAATAGTTATTCTGTTCTTTTTTAAGTCTTTAAAATACAGTATGTTTAAAGAGTATAATGAGCACTACTTGTCAACCTGTATTAACACTTTATTTATATTATTTCATTTACTATTCATAGTTAACTCAGCAAAAGAGGTATCATTATCCTCATTTTACAAATAAGAAAACTGACATTTAGAGAAATTAAGTCATGTTTCAAGGTTCCAGAATTTTTGTAAGCAAATCTAAGATATATTATTTCATTAAAAAAAGCCCATGCCCCTATATATTATGCTGTTTTGCCTCAAAAATAATGATAGTATGTGCAGGAAGATGAGGAGGAAGAGTTAGAAGCATATACTTAATCAAAAATAAAAGTCCAAAGGTCTTGGACAAATATATTGCTATGCACACTGCCCAAGCCCCTCATATAACTGGGGCTTACCACCTGTTGAGCAGGGAGAGGTGGCCCTGGGTCAGATTAAAAAGTGTGTGATTGATCGACAGTTAACAAAGAAAAGGACACAATCCTTCAGAACAAAAATGAGAAGAGTTTTTCTGTACTACAGAGGTCTGTACCTGAAGTCATAATATGATGTGTACAATCATCATCATCATCATTACTACTTAAAGTCCTTTTAAAGGGAGAGCGGGGCAGGATGACTGAGAATCGCTTTTCCTCATCGGAGTCTGGCCATTTGTCTCCCAACAAGTTTCTCAAAGAACCGGCTGTGGATGAAAATGGGGTGACACAGTAAACCTGACAAGCTCGGGGGAGGCCTTCGTGGTGGCCTTACAAACTCAGAGACTGAAAGCAGCCACATAGGATGGCCTGCAGTAAAATTCTTAACTGAAGGCCAGTCATCAAAATTTAGGCTTGTAGCTTCCTTGGCAAAGGTCAATCTTAACCAGGTGAGACTGATTATCTTCTTGCATCTAAGATAACATACCTTTGAAATGTCGGTGTACTCTTTTCCCGGCCCCTCAGGGCACACCCCACCCAAGGTATCTGAACAGAGACCACAGAATCCTTCATTGTTACCTTATTCCCAAAAACCAGCTCTACAGTGATGTTAACATTAATTATTAACTACCTGATACCCACCAGTGTAAAATTAGCATCCTTGTCTCTCCATTTTACTTTTTATCTGATCCCTGCTTTGCTTTCCCAGGCCCCTTAGTCAACCACCAATATATTTCATGTAACCCTCCCTCAGTCTCCTTTGACTTTAATGTACAAAATGAGCTGCAACATGGACGTTCTTGAGAGCATTTTCTCAATCCATTGAGATCCTTGCTTCCCAGAAATTGTTGCTGGTTTGGCTTAAATAAACTCATAAAAATTCTTGACAGGTATGGACACTTCTTACAATCAAACCAAACGTGTGTTTTTAAGTTTTTTTACTCAACTTAGTCAATTAACCAGTTTATATGGAAGAAAATGATCATTGGGCTTACTGCTTCATTGCAATACTATTTTTATATCTTAAAATGAAGATGTTACAAATATTTTGGGATATATGGAAAGTTCCAGCTTTGGCACTGTCATATCACACCATTTTATCCTTCACCACAAGTGACTTTAGCATCAGATTTACCTGGGTTCTGGTAGTACTATTACCACTTACCAAATGGGAAACAGTACCTATCTTATGGGAAATAGTGGAGAGGAAATTAAATGAGATAATTTATGCAAATTCAGGGTCACATCAAAAATGGGAGTGCCACCTCTCCTCCCTCTGAATTCAGGGCTTTGTTTCATGAGTTTCGAGCACTATAGACGTAAAAGATAGTTAGCATCCAATGAGGTCTGCATTCAGACCTGGAGTCAGCTTTCTCCCAGCTGTGTGACCTCGGACAAATGTCCTAGTTTCTCAGAACTTCCTTTTTGTTTTGTGAAAAGGAAATCATAGTCCTCTTTTGCAGGAATTTGTCAGATACTTTGCAAATAAATATGCAAAGTATCTGACATGTGGTTGGTACAGAATGAATGGTTGCTTTTTAATCCTTACATAAAATGACTCTTGTCCTATAAAATAGAGCTAATGATTCACTTTTCTGAAAATGCTTTATTGTATAATTGCGGGTGATTTCAAACACCTGGAAACTTACTTGGATATCATTATATGTCTGTCTCATCTAATCCCTTTTGTCATGTTTGGGTCTTGTGGGAATGTTTAAAGCTCCATTAAAAAGCCAGTGTAAGCTGAGATACCTGTTGGCTGTAGTGGCCACAGACCCATCCACAGGGGCAGCCAATTTCTCCCCAAAGTCTTGGAAAGGTTACAGGACTCAGAGAGATGTAGTATGCATGAGATTACAGGCCAAGAGGAAGAGGTCGGGGCTGCGGGCAGTATATTCGACAGGCTCATACACTGCAAGCCTTGTTCCGGCCCCTTACAAAGCACCTCTTTAGGATGAAAACAAGATGTTCTTTGTAAATAAAAGTTCATGCATTTAAGTAATGAAGTCATTTTCCAGCGCTGCAGTGGAATATATTCTTCTCCCAAGTCCTCTGGGTGAGGACTGTCAGGAGGAAGAGGGGTAGCCAGTTGGTCTCAAGAGCAGATATCTGCACAGGGTGCAGAAGCCCATCCCTAAAAACTGAGAAACCTTGTTCAAGAAAGTGAGTGTCCTTTCGCTCCGCATCTGAAATCATCTACCTCTAGCTCCTGCCTCCACGCTCCCTTTTCCACCTACTTTCCCAAAAACTAGGGATGGGGGTGGGGGAACATAAAAGATCTATATAAATATAGATGGGACACCCCAGGCACCTTGGATAAATCAGTAAGAGATGTGAGGAAGCAGTCACAAAAAGCCGAATATTCATCTGGGTTCCTTGGAGGGGCTCCAAACTGAGAGGGGAGGGAAGGCCTCAGGGGGAAGTCCGACCTCAGTGTGTGAAAGGCCAAGTTGGAAGGGGAGGGCCTGGAAGTGAAAGGTAAAGAGGGAGTGGTGAAATGGGCGTGGGGCGGGAGCCGGGACCGCGCAGCCCTCAGTCGGACCGCCGCCCGGGGACCGGGGGTGGCCGGCGCTGGCGGGCTCGCCCAGTTCAGTCTGCCTTTTGATGCTCAGCTTTTGAGTTTCATCCATCTGTATGTTCTTCAGCCAGAACCTCTGGGAAGGGAGAGAGAGGCAAACCGTGGGGAAAGGGAGGAGAGAGAAGGAGGGAGGGAGGGAAAGAGGAGGGAGAGAAGGAGGGAGGGGAGAGAGGAAGAGAAACTCACAAGCTTGCTCTGCTTACAACCCCCCCCCCTTTTTTTTTCCTAAGTTGGTCCTTGGGCTGCCTTGCCTTGAGTTCCCACATCTGGATACTGCAAAGGCAGAGAAGGCAAAGTAAGTGAGGCGTCTTCGCACCACGGAGGGTCCCATCGAGGACAAACAGTTGCCGAGCCCCTGAAAGCCCTGCTGGATGTCAGCGGACTGATGGCTCTGAGCTCAGCCTGGTGCTTCGTCCTGCCCTTGGGGCTCCTCTGGGGCGCGGCCGGCTCCCGCGCGTCTCAAGGGGACGACAAAGCTTTTCCTTTTGACATTGAAGAGAGCTCAGCAGTTGGCAGACAAGACCCGCCCGAGACCAGCGAGCCCCGCGTGGCTCCCGGAAGGCTGCCGCCTGCTGCAGAGGTACGGTGTTCCTGCCATCGTCACGCCGCGGGGGCACCTGCGCCCCGCGGCTGTGTGCGCCGCACTCCTGTCCTGCTCCCCTCTCCTCTTCTTCCTTCCCCTGTCTGCCTTGAGTTGCACCTGGATCAGGTCAGTTCAGAAACTTGAAAGAGTTTTACTTTGTAAGTTGGATAGAGACGTTATGAGTTGAGAGTTGAGGCTTTGGGACATGTCACCTTTCAAACTGGCAAAATCGCGTAAGTCCTGTGTACTCTGAGTCAGCCTGCTAGACTGTCACGGGGGGGCTGCAGTGTCACCCCTGGGTCTTTCTGCTCCTTGGATGCTCCGGGAGAGCCATTCTGGTCAAACCCCAGCACTTAGTGCCCGAGCCCTGTCGCTGGCTTCCCGATCCTCTGTGATGTTAGGACAGTGGGAACAATAAAGCAAGACCAATCCTTTTGTCAGAAAGTAAACAAAAGATCCTCTGTGATGGGGAGACCGAGAGGGCGCCTGTGGGTGACGGGCACTAAAGAAGCTGTTAGGAAACTGCGGAGCAGATGCCTTAAATAGACCTGAGCCATTATATTCCCAAAACAGGCCTTACACAGAAAATCAAGCCCTATCCCAAAAGATACACTGCTGATATGTTTATTTAGAGCTGTTGTTTATTGTAATATCGTACAAAAGCTTATATACTGAAAGGATACACCAAGTGTAGAAATTGGGTAAAAAGATGAACCCAGAGTAAGTGATTTAAGAGCCCCTGAGGCACCTCCAGGGTGTGGGAGATGCTCAGTAGGAGGAAAATGAAGTCACCTAAGTTCATGGGAAAGGAAGGAGGAATTAATCTAACGCACACACACACACACACACACACACACACACACACCCTATAGGGAAGGCTACAGCCACAATATAACCAAAGCTGTTATGTGGATTGACACCCTTTTCAACAACATGCAAGTCTGGATTATTGCTATTAATTCTACTAATTGTTAGTATTACTGTAGTTATTAATTATTACTGGTAAAATAAGGTGCATGGAGATGATACTTCTCCAGGAGTGAGCTCTACCCATGCCCAAAAAAGAGGAGATGTGGGTAGGTCCAGAGTACAGCAACCTCCCACTGTAGTGTGAAGCACACCTCCTCGAGAAAGGGGGCAGGGCATCTAGTCACCTGAGCACTCAGACCCGGGCCGGCCAGAGGCTCCTGGGAAGTCCTGAGAAGGCATCACTTCTCTGAGCCTTGGAATGCACCCTGGGAGGCCTTGTCTCCACCTGGCGCTTGGAGCCTAAAAAGGCCCTGAATGCAATGCTTGACTTAAGAGTAGAGAGCTGCTGGAAACCATACGAGCTGCTCAATTAAATTTGAATTTCAGATAAACAACAGATAGACGTTTTATGTCACAAATATTGCATGGGACATATTTAAACTAAAAATTATTCGTGGTGTATCTGAAATTCAAATTTATCTGAGCATCCTGTATTTTTGTCTGCTAATTCTAAAGAGACATGCATGCATAACTTTTTGTGGCTTTCTTCCCATAAAACATAACAAAATAATTATTAGGGAATCTTGAATTTTTTCAGACCCTGTGCAATTTCTTATGTATTTGTATGTTCAGTGAAAAGATAGGAAGATGGCACACCAGCGAATTTACTTGTAGATTTTGCAATCTAACGATCCCAAGTTCAAATTTCAATTTATCTGCTTTTTATGTTTGGCAAATTATAGATGCACAAGTTACAGATTAAAAAAATCTGAGGAGTTAGCGATGTCTACTCCACATTTCATACAGTTATTGTGCTGAAATTAGCTAATATATAGAGTGCTTAACACAGTGCCTGACATGGTATAAATGCTTTATAAATCCTAAGTGTCATTATTATTATAAAATACATGGATGATTGGATTAAAAAAAACACTTATCTGGGAATGTTTCTCAGGACTTAATCTTTTCCATACTGTTTTACTTAATGTTGTTCATCTCAGTCTATGTTCTTCCAGCCGGGAAGAATGTCCTATAGTGAGTTAAATTTGTAATACTGTCAGAGTCTTATGGGTTCAGAAAACCAGTTGAAGCCTTTCATTTAGGGAAACAGAAAGATACTATTAATCATTCCAGGAAGGTCAAAGTATATGATGTAGAAGGAGTTGGGTTGGGTAATTATGTTCCCACTGCATAGTTTCACACGATGCCTCCAGTTAGCCCGAGTCCCACAGGATCCCAAAACCCCACCGTTGGGTTTCCCAGGCTCTTTATAGCCAGTGTGGGGACCTTAAACCAAATATATTCCAGAGATTTAACATCAGGATATAAGCACCCTACTGAATCGGTTCAGGAGATTGTATTTATCTCTATAGAGGAGAAGAACACAGACACATACAATATATTATCTGTGAGGGTTGGACATGTGAATGGAAGGACATTCTACAGATACATTCATTTTATTTGAATTAGATTTATATGAATGGTTATTCCTCAATTTCCCTTCAAAGGAAGGAAGAAGAGAACTAAAGCAAACATGCAGCATGGGGAGGCACTTGGCTGAATGCCTTCTTAAATACCCCAAGCTCCTTGATGGCAGGGCTTGTGTCCTGTCCACCCCAGGTCCTCAGTCTGTGACCTGGACCTCAGCACACTGTGGTGCACAGTGACAGTTAGGGAAACAAGTGCAGGAAATACTCATTGAATGGAGGGTTGAAGATCATGTCTGTGCAAGGAGAAAGTTCCCTCTTTCCTTCCAAAACAAGTCCCAGCTCCCACCCCCCACCCACCTCCATGCAAAGAATTTAAAAAGAAGAGCATCCATGGGTAAATCTGTGCTCATTGAGATGATGTTCTCACCTTCTGCTTTTTTACCCGCAATTCGTTGAGTCCATTATTTGCTGAGTTGAGGGTGAGAATTGTGATTCTTAGTAGGCAGAGGTGGGCAAAGAAGAAACTAGGCAGTTTCAAAAGTATATTCAGTATTCTGACAGTTGACATTTAAGAAAATAAAGTCTTTATTGTGTCATAATCACTATAGCAAGTAAAACTAGGCAAAAGTCTCCTTGACCATATGGGTGTGCGAAAGAACTAGAGGGGTGGAAATGGACACAGTCCCAAGGAGAGACTGTCAGAGTGTTCTTGGAAGGAGTGACATTCTGTCTATCAAAACGGAGCAGGACTTAGAAACAAGGTCAGGAAAACTAGGCTGGAGATCCACACTGGCTGCAAAGAAGCCACACAGAGACTCGGAAGGAGAGTGTAGGGACTCTGCTGGAAGGGCAAGGTGGGAGGCAGGCAGAGGAGGGCCGAGGTGCCGTTACTGCCTTTGGTAGATAATTGAGAAAATAAGGGATGTAATTGACAATATGAGCAAACTTCCCCAAGAGGAGAAAACTGGAATTTATCTTTTGGTAATCTGATGGGTGTTGCTGTTGTTGTTGGCTTCCGTCCAAGGAAAATTTATTGCCCTGTGAACCTAATGTGCCAATGTACTCCAGACTGGAAAAACTTACCTACTAAATAAAAAGTAAGACTATGAACTAGACTAATTCGGAGGGACTTTTCTTCTGGACTCTTTCCATAGTTGATATGTGAGTCCAGTGCTCCAGCAAAAACATGCCTGGCCACTAAAAGGTTGCAGAATGTTTATTGAAAGCCAGTGTAGGTCTCCTTCACTATCTCCTTTCCTTTTCTTTATCCTGGCCCCTTACTTTGAAAAAGGCCATGTAGAGTCATACTGAGACATCCAGTCACTGGCCTGGGCCATTATTTTATACTGCTGTTCAACAGAGCAGTTAGGTAATTTGAACCTCTGGGTGCAGTCATTACTTCACCCACTTAATACTCATCCAATAAACAGGTTTTGACCCTGACCACATACAGACCAATAAAGTAGGTGCCAGGAGGGACAGAAAGCAGGCAGAGTCACATCTCTACTCTCAAGGAGTAAGCATTCTAAGAAAAAATATATAAACATAGCCACTATATAAAGCAGATGAGTGAACGTTCTGTAAGAGAGGCTACAACCTAAGTGCCATGAAACTAACAGGGAAAACATATTACTCCTGAGCTACACCAGTGGGGTACAATCCCCAGACAACCAAGGAAGCTTCCTGAAAACATTATTTTAGAAGGATCGGAATATTGTCCTGGCAGTAGTAATAACAATAGCATGGCTTACAGCTAACACTCATTGAGTATTTACCATGGTCTAAGCACGTCCCACGAGTTATTTCCTTTAACCCTCCTGACAACTCAGTAGGACTGATACAGTTATTTTCTCATTTTGCAAACATGGAAACTGAGGCACAGAACATTTGCCCTGGCACCCAACCTGGAGAGTAACATAACTACAAAAGAGTTCATGAAAGTAATTTTGACTGTATAGGAATATATCTAGGAAAAGGTCAGTAAATAGAACTCTCTACAGGCATAATTTCAGTAGAAGTTTTGGGAATTTTTTAATATGAAGATATTTAAAATGCTATTCAAAGAATATTTATGTCGTGCTCACTGGATGAGTAGCATTTAAGTAGCATAAAATCTTAGGGTGACCAAATAATTGAGATAACTGCCCTTCCTGCCCTGTCTATTTACTACTTGTTAAACTACTACTCAAATAGAAAAGGAAACAATGAACACTTAATAGACTTCTACTATATCCCATGGACCTACATGCATTATCTTATTTAATACAGCAAAAATTATACCCATTTCACAGATGAGCAAATTGACAGAGATGGTCTGCAGCATGGATTACTGGTCTAGTCTGAAAGAGATTTATTTTAACACAGGTGTTATTGCTATGGGGTTTCCGAATCCATTCTCTTTTCCCAGCCCATCCCTGGGTCTCCCTGATAGATTTCTTTCTTCTTTTTTCTTTAACTATAGAATTTTCTTATATTTTGTTTTCCTTTTATAAGCATGTTCTAGTATGTTTCCTAGCATGATACTACAGTCTACATTAGAAGCTCAGAATTCAAAACAAAAACGCCTACAGCAATACATACGTGGACCATCTTACAGAA